AGCTTAGATACATTTTGGGTGGGATGGAAACACACTGAAATGTCTTGATCAAGCAACTGCCATGATGTCACTTGTTTCAAAAAACACATTATACTCTGAAGACGGAAGGGGAGCAGAACAGGAATACGAGCCTACTATAGTAGTCCAGGTGAGAGATGATGGTTGGTTGTTTAGATTTACATGGTAGCAGTGAAGGTGGTCAGTAGATGGGTTGAGTATATTTTAAGGTAGGCTCATCAGGACTCACTGATGGCTATGGCATGGGTGAGAAGAGAAGGGAAATTAAATTAAGACTCCTACATGTTGGGACTGGGTGACTAGGTTGCATTTATTCAGATGGAATAGAATGGGAGAGGTAGAGGTTTGGGGGAAAATCAAAGAGTTCTACTTGACCTCCCCACCCCCACTCAAAAGAGGTGAACTATTATACATCTGAGATGGATGTCAAGTAGGTGATTAGGTATGAAGTTTGGAGCTCAGGAGAGAGATTAATACTGGAGATAACACATGGATGGTGTTAAATGCCATGGGATGTGCTCATCTACTGAGTGTAGCTAGAGAAACGGAACCAAAGGCTGAGGCCTGGGATATTTCAACATTTAAGAGTCAAAGGAAACTGAGAAAGGTGCAGAGTTAGGAGGAAAACCAGAAGGGTGTGGTGCTCAGTGAAGAAAGTGTTTCAAGAGTGAAACAAGGTGTGATCAAGTGTCAAATGCTGCTGAGAGGCCAAGGAGGTATCATCTAAGTTAACTCAAGTAAACAGTTCTCTCAGCTCTGTTTCCTCACAGTGCTTTATTTGTACCTTTCTCATCGCAAATTGTACAGTTATTTTTGTCTTCTCTCCTCTTCTAGAGAAGATCCTTTAAGGTCAGAGACCGTGTCTTATTTTTCCTTGAACTTCCACTACTCTATTTGCTCAATAAATGTTTGAATAAACAGATGAATCATGTGGAATCCTATAAAATCCAGGAGAATATGCCTAATACAGAATTAGCAATTAGAGCTGGTTTTATTGAGATGTTCTAAATGTCCCGCCTCCAGAATAACATGTGAGTTTTGTTCTGCCTAGAATGAAAACTGTCCACCATACATCTGAGTTGGATTACTGACAATCACAACCCATCTGGCATTTTTTTTTTTTTTGCTTCAATATCTCATGGACTATCTAGTCCAAAAATTAGTTTTTACCTGATTTGCTCCCTCACTTTTTAGAGTTGGCTCCAAGACCTGGTGATACCTTCAGAGGTCATCAATAATTTTCTCTGTCATACGTCACTGAATATCAGCATCAATAGTACAACAGACATCAGGATAAGTTGACATTTCATATTACATTATAATGAATTTCAAAACAATGACAAAAGGAGCTATGGAAATATAGGCAGTGAGCATGACCAAACTCTTCAGGGAGACATGCTTGAGATGGCATACACAGAAAAAGGCTGGTAGTCAGGAGGTGACAAATTTCCTTTGGCTTTTACAAAATCGTTGGGGTCAGATAGTTTCTAGGTCAGTGAATTACTGTCTTTGTAAAAAAAAAAGCTAAAAACTAAGTTTCGAGTAACAAGAATATAAAAACCCACGTTACGGGTATGAGCTTTCAACAACATACCTTACTTGGAAAATATGCACTAGGTAACACAAAAAGACAAAGACGTCAAGTCCCCAACAAGTACAGCTAGAGATCAGAAATACCTGCTCTATGTGCCAGTGCCACAGGAAACCACCCATCTGTGAAGCCAGTCCCTCTCTGCTTGACCTCAGCCACACTCTATCTGGTGACTGATAACAGAATACCATGTTTCAGCTCTATGGCTCTCTTGGCTAGTTTTATGGTGACTCCCTGAGATCAAATATTCCCCTTGGATTTCTACTTACTCTCATACCTATGAATTGAGAAGAGGTTTTCTCCAATCCGTTGACAACTTGCCTGAGTCTTAATATTTGGACGGATGTTTCATAAAGAAAACTGATGGTTAATTCCTAGCCCTTTCACTAAATCTTACTCTGGATGTGATCTGTCAGATTATGGCACCGCGGAGCAGGCTATGCACCCAATACTGAAATTATGAAAACCTAGATTACTCCATCCCCTGCGAACAGCACATTACTTGGCATGTTTTACTCAGTATACAGTATGTACTTGGTACGTGAATTTCAAGAGTGACACTGACAAAATGGGACATATTTGGAGGAAGGTATGAACAGACTAGAGCAATTTTGTTTGGAGATGAGTCAGATGCTTGAGAGCTTCTTTCAAAAAGCTAAAGAGTTGTCAGGAAGGGAAGAGTAAGATTTATGCTATAACTCTAGGTCATTAGGAGCTAATGATTTAATGCAGTATTTCCCATGTAGAGTTCAATAGGATGTTGTGATCCTAGGAAAGAAAAAATAATTCTATGGTCAAGAAAGTTTGGGAAATGTTCAATTAAATAGCCCTTATTTTCAGAAGTAAAGTTCTAAGCAAAAGCAAGACACAAATCACTCATTTATGAAAAGGTCAGAATTAATAAATACCTCCAGATGCTTGGTGAGAATAGCTCCGGTTTTAGGGCCTGCGGTGATGTTGAAACAGAAGGTATGTACTGCGGTCTACACTGCAACTAAAATGAATGTGGACTGACGCAAGGATCTGGTCCACAGTGGTTCCTACTGAAAGTAGTCGATTTGAGTAAGCAAGTCTTCATCACTAATGCCAGGCTGAACCAAGTGCACTTTGTATACTGATTTCTAAATGACACGGTCCTATTTTTATGGCTGGTATTCTTACCAGAAAAATATAACACTGATTATAACATTATTAAGTGATACTTCTTTTCTTCTTATACACACTTGTTAAACATCAACTGTGTGCTGTATACTCCACTGAGAACTGGGGGAAAAAATGGAAAATGCCTGGTTGTACTTCATTTATCCTTGAGATGTAGAGGTGAGGAAGCTACAGAGGGAAAGCTGAACTAATCACTTTCAGAGGAGTCAACTGATATGTCAAAGTGCACTGACATCCCTCAATCTTCAGATTTGTTTTCATCTCAGTTTATCATTCTAATATAGTAACAGTTAATAAAAATGATTTAGCACTTAAAAACCTAAGTACCTAATGAGCTACCTAAAAGACCTAAATACCAAGTCTTTCATTCTATGGTTACTATATTGTGCTACTAGATTTCACAGTAGTACTAGATTTGCTAGTAAGCATGGAGAATCAAATTTATAACTCATGTTTGATAATGCCCAAGTCTTTACTTAATCTCAAATGATCTGAAAAGGAACATGCCTCTCTTCTTTCCTCTCTACCATCCCTGTAATTTTTAATATTTTCAGACCAGAAGATAAATACATTTAGAAAACAAGAGGATGACAGAACTCAGGCAAGCAGGTATTCTGATAGACTCCATGCAGTGATTGACAATGAACAGGCTCAAATATTCCTGAAAATGGCCACACTTGATTTTCCTATCATACTCCAAGGTTCTACATTTGTATTTCAACCATGCTGGCACATGTAACAGGAAACCCAACTTACCTCAAACCTAAATATAAGTAGCATGATAAATAAAAGTGAGACTGTCATTCTCTGGCATGACCCACATAAACCAAATTTCTAAAAACTGAAGAAAAGGTTACTTCAAATAGTCTACTAAAAAAATACTCTAGAAAGACAACCATTAAAAACTACTGTCACACAATGTCAAATCTTACATATCGTTTTCTCAGAAAATGATCAACTTCTAGCTTGTTTCCAGTGATAATCATAACAAGACCAGTACACTAAACGAATTCGCCTCACACTCAGATTGGAATATGGTTTATACCTCATCATCCTATAAAGACTGATAGGTCAACTTAAATTATGAACAAGTTACTTCGGGTCCCTAAATTTGTAAGAAAATTTGGGTGCTTATCAAGTCAACTCTATCCATGGTCAGAATTTCGGTCACGAGAATGAAAATCAACATGATGAAGGACAATAATTTACTTTAATCTGAACTTACCCCTTCCTAGTTAACAATGCCAATACTTGAAATCGTGTTTCTATTTTCCTAGGAGGTCACTATTTACCCACTATTAGTCAAATAAGCATATTGGGGGCCTTCTCCAATTTTCTTTCGTATTCTCTTTTATATCCCTCCATCCTTTCTATTTCTCCAAGGAACTTTTATGATAGTTTGTGACTAAGGAAATGTTAATGATTTCACCAACAGGTAACTTGTTTTAAATGAAGACGGACACAACATTTATTTAATTTTTTAATAAACCATAAAATTTAAATATTCAAATAAAAAGAAACAAAAATAGATTATTAAACCCAGCATGAATTTCTGGTTTTACTCTTCCTCTGGGGCATTGTAGGCTTGACTTACCTGGGGTTAGAGTAATAAAGTTATGATGCTGGTACAATAATGAATGGAGAAGTAAAAATGGGCAATGGCTTGACAAAATTTACCTTCAAATCTAGATCAGCAGGTCACTCAGGCCTACTGCAAAGGCCTGACACTGGTCTTGTCTGTATAAGACTACTCTGGCTTTCCATTCTTACCACACGTTCTTCATCACAGCTTAGTGTTCCCTGCATTCTGATCCTTTTGCTCACTGACGCTCACTTCGATCTGTCAAAACATCAAGGGGGAAAATCCCCAAACCGAACCGACAAATAAACACTCTTAATGTGAACAATCATATTCAGACCAACCTCTTCTGCAAAAATACAAGTCAGTGGATTTTTTATCCTTACATAACTCAAATATTGCTATTTTTTTCCTGCCTTTACTAAAATGGCACTTTCATTTACATCAGCCAATTATTTTCTACTTGCTTCTAATTTTCTGAGATTGCATTCTGTACAGTTATTCTTTTTAAGCTTTACAACTTCCATTCCAGAATATCTGGTCTTTGACCAACTTTATCTAATTTTGTGAAGAAATCTGCTGTTAATCAGTGAAAATCACCAAAGGAAAAAGGAAGCAATGAACAATAGTAGGATCTTGCTTCAGCATTTATATAATTTTTTATAAGAAAAACATTCATTTTTATTATGGGATCTAAAACCATGATCGTCTGATACTATATAAGTCTTTTAGCATACTCAAATGAGTCAACATTCAATATGGACAGCAAGCTAGCTCACAAGAAACAAAATGTAATGCACAAATATATTTGACTAGTAAAATCCCAGAGGCTTGGTAATAAAGTGCAGCAAACTTTCCTTAAATTGAGTAAGAACTTCAGTAACCTCTGGATATTTTTGGTAAAAATTAAAGAAAAGGTACTGCAGTCAGGAGACAGGTAATCTTTACACTTCAAAAGACTGGCTGCCAGGGGACCACAGTGAAAAATCAGACCTAAGGAGCTAATGAAAAACCCTTGCTTGGAAGGAATGGGTTTTTCCAAAAATGCAAAATTATCATATATAGATGCTTAGGATACTATGATTTGACAGGTTTACAGTGATAAAACAGCAAAGATAAACAGTTACAGTATTTATAACTTTAGTGTGTAAAGAACACAGGTTTTTTTGATTGGCAGCAAGAAATTCTATGACAGCTCCTGAGACAAGTAATCCTATATACCCTATATCCACCCATGCCAGTGATGACCAGTCAAAATGGTAACACAGAGTAAAAAGCGATCTACTGTATGTGAGTCAGAAAGTACTTGGAAAGTGACAAAATCGTATGTTATTAAATGACAAAACATATTTAGAGGCTTTATTTAAAAATCGCTCACTGTTCATTATCAAAGTTACAAGATTGCATACCAATAGACAGACTGTAAACATAGGAAATTTTCGTTAAGGAAAGATGGGTTTACTGTAATTCAATCTTTTACAAAAAATTACTTGCAAGTTATTGATAACAGAATTTCTCTTTTACTTTCTTAATTCTCTTGAAAATTAAACCAATGTTTCCACTCTCTCGAACTAAAGTTCAACCATGGTCACCTTAGGAAATACCCCTGCTTATTTGTTAATCAGAAATACAAATCGAGTGGCACATACTTCCATTTTCTTTTTAGGCCAAAGGTTTCGGCTTCATTATATTTTACAGAAGACTTGCAGTGGTCCTGTAAGTCTTTCATGTCACAGCTGAGGTTTAATGATGGCAGTGGAGGAAAGTAGCGGTGATGCAAAGTAAGACCAGCCCAATTGCCTTATCTGACATGGAATCTTTTTCCTGTTGGGCTTGCAGCAGAGAAGTGTTTCTGGTCAGGTTGCCTCCATCAAACCTGATTGAAGCAGAAGGGTGACATGCTCTGATAAATCCCATTTAAGGATGATTCCGTTCAGGCAAATAGTTGATCCTTCAATCTGTTGGCTGTGGGATGATACTAATATGAAGAAAATTATCCGGGTAGCTCAGATGTTCACTCAGCCACTGCAGAGGTGTTTCCAACATTGGCTCAATTCCATGAATCATCACTTGATTCTTTTTTTCCCCATCTATTCCAAGAAAGAAATCCAACAATAATAAGACTCAAAACAGTTGAAGAAAAAATACTCTGTTGCCTTTTGAGAATCCTTAGTGCATTAAATGGATTTTAAACCTGTTTTGTCCCCTGAACAGGAAATGCAGACATGGAGAAAGTTAAACTGTTGCAGTATGTATCACCCAAAACAGAAACCTGAGGGTTACAATATATTCTGATAAAAATTCTGTTGCTCTATGTGAAAGTATTCATTCTTTCTTAATTACTGTGCTTACTTAAGATTGACGTTAATGAAACTACAGTGGCAAAAACAGCCCGTTGTACAAATGACCAAAATTTATTTTAGTTATACATTAAAAACTGTACTATAGAGTTATTAAAAATGACAACTATATGAAGTAGGTCCATACATATTTTGAAAATGTAAAACAGAAATGTGATTAGAAATCATAAAAAATCAGATCAGTATTTGAGAAGATGTTTAATAAGACACGTGATCTTTAGTTGTTTTCAGTAAAGCATTCAAGTATGTATCAAAATGTCTTAGAGGTACTAGTTTAATAAGTTAAAATTTTAATCAGAAGAGATTAAGAATCTGACTCAGGGATTCCTGTGCTAGAGTTACAAAGCCTGATTGATTTTTATTAACATTCACTTGCTAATTAAAAGGAAGCTGTAATTCACAACTTTCTTTTAAATTCAGTTGTATTCCAAATAAACTTAGGATTAATTTGAGGTTTTTTCATGATTTTGGTGTGATGTACTGACAACTTTTAAAGTAAATGGAAACATTCTTGTCATAGGAAAACAAAAAAAGCAAAGTCAAACTCCTCTAATGAAAAAAAAAAATTAGAACCATCAAGAAACTTTGTGTTACTCCTTTAGCACAATTCTGGGTTTGTCTCCTTTACCATCTCTTCAAAATACAATGTATAAACCTCTCAGCTTCCTGGTGACAGAAGGCAAGGAAACAGGGAATCACGGAACTCTATAATGGAGAAATACCCTACGTTTTCCTTTCCGCTCTGTTCAAAATACCTTTTGAATCTGTAAGTGCTCTAATGTCTGGGCAAAATGAGCTGATGATGTATGGTGATAATGACTTGGCTGGCACCTGAAACAAGAGACCCTTTTAAAGAAATATTTAGACTTCCTGTTAGAGACAGCACAGTCCCGGGAGGTGATAGTCAACATAGGACACAAAACACTACAGAGAGTTGATAAAAGAATGTCAAAAATAAAAAATTAACATACTAACAATTCCAAAACAACCAAATAAAACATCCCAAATCCCCAAATCACTGTGCCATAGCTTAAAACAATTTTGAAAAAAGGTATGACTTCGTAATACTACTAACCTAAAAAAATGCTTTCATTATTTTTTCTTTGTTGCATTTATTCGTAATTTTTTACACAGTTGTGATCAGTGTTAATATAATGATTTGTTTTCATAATAAAATACTAAGCTATATACAGAATACTATAGAAAGTATAGTATTAGTACTTTGGAGAGATCTTTTAAACGTTGGTATTCAAATGGAGAAAACCTCAGCTATCTGGAATGATTCACTGCTTGTAAGTTCTAGTTTACTAAAGCTTTACTGTATTAAATCTTTCCTAGAATATTTGAAAACATTTCCGGTGTAATCCTCCTCAAATTCTTATATTTCTTTGAAATATTTTAATATTCTTAGAATCTTCCTCCTACTTAGCACTGAGTCAAAAAATGAAAGAATAGTGGTGTAAGAGTAAAAGTTCCTTATCTCTAAAATTTTTCCTTAAGCCAGAGTCATCTTTGTATACTATGAAACAGCAGAAGAAACAAGTCACAACTCAATATCCATAATACTATGTCTAAAGCAATATTTAAATGTGGGAGCAGATACAATATGGTATACAATCCACTGATAATACATAGTGTATCTGAAAGGCAAAAGACCAACCGTGTCACAACAAAAGGATAGTTGGAGTTTATGAGTTGTACAACAGAAGCTGGAGGACATAAGCACTATTCAAACACTGTGTAACAAGCCTAATAAATCCCCTTTCCCAAACCCTGAATAGGTAGCACTGATTCTCTGATTTAGAAGCTGGGGCCACTTTTAATTCATAACATAAAAGTGTTACTAACTAAATTTAGGTAACTAAGTAAAGGATCTAGGACTATCGTGTCCCGCAACAGAAAAGTTTCAGCTTTTAAATATATTATTTTGTCACTGCCTACATCTGTCTAAATATTTCACCTGGATTTATGTAGTTCATTTATTTTCTTTCCCCAATAACACAATTTTAAACAGAGGGATTCTGAGGATAGGACAGCAATTTCCTCGAAAGTTCAAACCTAAGTTTCTCTCTTATTCATTACTCTGTCCCCAGTGCCTAGCATGGTACCTGACATATACAGTAATTAGTCAATAAATATTTTCATAGCTGGGATAATTTTGTTGCTGGTAGAATTGTACTATCGAAATTAATGTTTCTGGAATGCTTTCTAATAGCTAGCCCTACCATGTAGAATAACTCTACCTGTAACGACTACTTTCGTTATCAAAACAACGAAGTCAAAAATGTTTCCAGATAAGCCAAGTGTATATGCTATCCTTAATTCATGCTACCATAAATAACAACAAAGCATGAAGGACATTTTGGCAATAACAAGACTAATAAAAGAAAATAGGTCAGGTGTGGTGGCTCACGTCTATAATCCCAGCACTCTGGGAGGTCAAGGTGGGAAGACTGCTTGAGCCTGGAGTTCTAGACCAGCTTGGGCAATACAGTGAGATCTTGTCTCCATAAAAAATTAAAAAAACAAACAAAGATTAGCTTAGCTGGGTGTGGCAGTGCATGCTTGTAGTCCCAGCTACTTGGGAGGCTGAAGTGGGAAGACTGCCTGAGCCCAGGAGGTCGAAGCTGCAGTAAGCTATGATGGCACTACTGCACTCCAGCATTGGCAACAAGTGAGACCTTGTGTAAAAACAAAAAATTAATAAGTAAATAAAACAGTTAAAAAAAATCAGTAGATATCTTTTTTTCTTGCAGTACAAAGGGAACACTTGATACTGCTAAAGTAAACAATATTTTTGGTAAATATGTCTTTGTGTTTCAAAATGGGAATCTAGACCTTAATACTTAGAATGAGAAATGTCACTACAAAGAAAATGACTCAGGAGAAAAATGTTACTGTATGCCTCTTCCACTCAGATTTTTTTAAAAAGCTGGCTTGAAGCTTTAAGTTAGGCAAACATATGAGACACTAATCAAGTGAACTAGTTTTATATGAACTTCTTTTATACAGGACACTTTTTGGAGAGTAGTTTTTGTCATGATTCCAAACTTATAGTGTACCCTTTCTAATATATTCTTTTACATAACTGCAGTAATCACAATAAAAAAATATTGAATACTATAATGTAGTCCATATTAAAATTTATCAACTATCCCAACAATGTATTTTTCTTCAATCTAAGATTCAGTCCAGGGCTGTCTTAGTCTGTTTGTGATGCTATAACTGGATAATTTATAAAGAACAAACATTTATTTCTCACAGTTCTAGAGGCTGGGAAATCCAAGATCAAGGTGCTGGCACCTGGTATGGGCTTCTTGCTATGTTCTCACATGGAAGACCATGGAAGCACCAGAGTCAGTGATCCCACTCTCAAAAACCCATTTTGTACCAGCATTAACCCATTTATGAGGGCAGAGCCCCCAAAAGGCCTCACCTCCCAACACTGTTGCATTGGGAATTAAGCTTCTAACACATGAATTCTGGGAGACCCATTCAGGTCATGTCAAGGATTCACATATCGCATTTAATTTTCATGTCTCTATTCTCTTTAAATCTGCAACCATTTTTTAGAGTTTTCCACATTTCTTAACCTTTATGGTCTTGAAGAGTACATCTCATTATTTCGTAGAATGTCCACATAGCACTTTTTAAAACCAGCATCTACTTAAAAATGAACATTTAAAAAAGTGTTACATTTTAAGAAAAATATATTCAGGTAGATTTTGGTTATATGAATAGAATGGTTAAGAATTACACATAGGAAAAAAAAGAAGAAAAAAAAAAAGAGAAAAATCACATTAACCACACAAGTCATTAATGAAAATCATAAAGTTAAAATAATGGTAACTTCTTATGTATGTATTAATGATGCCTATATAGAGACATATATACAATGAATGTTATCAATATACAATAATATAAATGAGACATAAAGGAGAAAGGGCCACTGATGTATCACTAGTTAGCAAGGTACTAATGAAAGACAAATTGGGGGTTAGACAACATGAATTCCAATTCTGGTAATGAAGGGCTCTAAAGATCTCACATCTCTTTGAAGCTGTTTCCTTTTCTTTTTTCTTTCTTTTTTTTTTTTTTTGAGATGGACTCTTGCTCTGTCGCCCAGGCTGGAGTATAGTGGCACAATCTCGACTCACTGCGACCTCCACTTCTGGGTTCAAGCAATTCTCCTGCCTCAGCCTCCTGAGTAGCTGGGATTATAGGCTCCTGCCACCACACCCAGCTAATTTTTAATATTTTTAGTAAAGGCAGGGTTTCACCATGTTGGGTTTCACCTGGCCTCGTGATCCACCTGCCTTGGCTTTCCAAAGTGCTGGGATTACAGGCGTGAGTCACCATGCCCAGCTGAAACTGTTTCTTTATACATAAAATGAAGATGCCTGTATAGATGTATGGTTTGAAAATCCAGCTGACCATCAGAATCATGTGGGAAATTAAAAGAATATATATATGAACTGGCTCCTCCCCAGACTTTCTGAATCAGTTTCTGGGGTAAATTCTTTTTTTAAAAAATGTTCCCTAGAATGAACCTTATGATCATACCAGTGTAGAATTTTTCTACAAACAAAATTTTATGTAGAAACCCAACGTACAACACAGGTAAAGTTATGGCAGCTTTTGCTCATGTGGGATTGAGACCATTTCCTAAATTCTGTTTGCTGATTTATAACCCGTAATAGCCTCTTATTTATCTCTGTGAGTCAGTTTGC